TCCACCTTACTAACCGTTCTGTATCTACCACCCCTCTCTGCCAATCCCTCCACTCAGTGTCCTCCACCCTCTCTACCAATCCCTCCACTGGCCTCCACTCAGTGTCCTCCACCCCTCAGCCAATCTCTCCACTGGCCTCCACTCAGTGTCCTCCACCCCTCTCTGCCAATCCCTCCACTGACCTCCACTCAGTGTCCTCTATCCCTCTCTGCCAATCCCTCCACTGGCCTCCACTCAGTGTCCTCCATCCCTCTCTGCCAATCCCTCCACTGACCTCCACTTAGTGTCCTCCACCCCTCTCTGCCAATCCCTCCACTGGCCTCCACTCAGTGTCCTCCACCCCTCCCTGCCAATCCCTCCACTGGCCTCCACTCGGTGTCCTCCACCCCTCTCTGCCAATCCCTCCACTGGCCTCCACTCGGTGTCCTCCATCCCTCTCTGCCAATCCCTCCACTGACCTCCACTCAGTGTCCTCCACCCCTCTCTGCCAATCCCTCCACTGGCCTCCACTCAGTGTCCTCCACCCCTCCCTGCCAATCCCTCCACTGGCCTCCACTCAGTGTCCTCCACCCCTCTCTGCCAATCCCTCCACTGGCCTCCACTCAGTGTCCTCCATCCCTCTCTGCCAATCCCTCCACTGACCTCCACTCAGTGTCCTCCACCCCTCTCTGCCAATCCCTCCACTGGCTTCCCGTTGCCCAACGGATAAAATTCAAAACATTAACAATAACATGAAAAGCCATTTATAACTCTGCCCCAAATTACATCAACGGTCTCTAAATATCACCCAAACCGTACTCTCCGCTCCTTGCAAGACCTCCTGCTCTCTAGCTCCCTTGTTTCTTCCTCCCATGCTCGTCTCCAGGGCTTTTTCAGAGCTTCCCCCATCCTCTGGAACTCTCTACCCCAATTTATCAGACTATTGCCTACTCTGCTCACTTTTAGGCGATCTCTGAAAACCTATCTCTTCAGGGAAGCCTATCCTGCCCTCAGCTAATTAATGGAATCTTCTACTCTTCCTACCAGTCCATCCCCCACAGTTACTACCTTTTGTACCACTAACCCCTCCCTTCTAGATTGTAAGCTCCAAGGATCAGGGCCCTCCTATCCCTCTTGTATTGAACTGTATTGTTTCTGTATTGTTTCCCGTTCTATTGTAAAGCGCTGAGCAAACTGTTGGCGCTATATAAATCCTGTATAAATTTAATAAGGAGGAAGATCCACTTTAAAGTGTGTGACTTGCCAAATCTTTGTTTAGTTTGATAAAGTAGGGAATGGTTAAGACCTCTGTCAGTCTTTTTTCTGTTTGTATCCATCTTTACTTCCTGTCCCAAAGAGTGTGCTGTAACAAAGCAATGCATAGTTATGATCAATGTTAATATACTGCCATCTTGTGGATATTTTGGTTATGGCACCTTCTTTTTCTGCCTTCCATCTTGTCCCCTCCCACTAGCTAGTTCCTCTTCCTTCTTTACTGACTTCTTGGGATGGGCCATTGGGATGTTCACTTGTCTCCGTGGATATCCGGGAACACATTACCATGTTTTGACCTGCAAATACCGTCCATTCATCATGCATTCATCTGCTACATCTTGTTGTCTAATGTACCTTCTGCATTGCAATAAAATTTCCGTGTATGATAAAAAGGGTGAGTTTTTTGTTGAGTTCAGCTATCTGATAAAGACTGTGAGGAAAGATTAGAGGAACTGAATTTATTCTCTTTTGAGAAGAGGAGATTAGGGGGGATATGATCTCCATGTATAATACATAAGGGGGGATATGATCTCCATGTATAATACATAAAGGGGGGATATGATCACCATGTATAATACATAAGGGGGGGATATGATCTCCATGTATAATACATAAAGGGGGATATGATCTCCATGTATAATACATAAGGGGGATATGATCTCCATGTATATAATACATAAGGGGGGATATGATCTCCATGTATAATACATAAGGGGGGATATGATCTCCATGTGTAATAATACATAAGGGGGGATATGATCTCCATGTATAATACATAAGGGGGGATATGATCTCCATGTATAATACATAAGGGGTATATGATCTCCATGTATAATACATGTATAAGGGGGGGATATGATCTCCATGTATAATACATAAGGGGGGGATATGATCTCCATGTATAATACATAAGGGGGGGATATGATCTCCATGTATAATACACAAGGGGGGATATGATCTCCATGTATAATACATAAGGGGGGATATGATCTCCATGTATAATACATAAGGGGGATATGATCTCCATGTATAATACATAAGGGGGGATATGATCTCCATGTGTATAATACATAAGGGGGGATATGATCTCCATGTATAATACATAAGGGGGGATATGATCTCCATGTATAATACATAAGGGGATATGATCTCCATGTATAATACATAAGGGGGGATATGATCTCCATGTATAATACATAAGGGGGATATGATCTCCATGTATAATAATACATAAGGGGGGATATGATCTCCATGTATAATACATAAGGGGGGATATGATCTCCATGTATAATACATAAGGGGGGATATGATCTCCATGTATAATACATAAGGGGGATATATGATCTCCATGTATAATACATAAGGGGGGATATGATCTCCATGTATAAATACATAAGGGGGGGGGGGATATGATCTCCATGTATAATACATAAGGGGGGATATGATCTCCATGTATAATACATAAGGGGGGATATGATCTCCATGTATAATACATAAGGGGGGATATGATCTCCATGTATAATACATAAGGGGATATGATCTCCATGTATAATACATAAGGGGGGGATATGATCTCCATGTATAATACATAAGGGGGGATATGATCTCCATGTATAATACACAAAGGGGGATATGATCTCCATGTATAATACATAAAGGGGGGATATGATCTCCATGTATAATACATAAGGGGGATATGATCTCCATGTATAATACATAAGGGGGGATATGATCTCCATGTATAATACATAAGGGGGGGATATGATCTCCATGTATAATACATAAGGGGGGGGATATGATCTCCATGTATAATACATAAGGGGGGATATGATCTCCATGTATAATACATAAGGGGGGATATGATCTCCATGTATAATACATAAGGGGGGATATGATCTCCATGTATAATACATAAGGGGGGATATGATCTCCATGTATAATACATAAGGGGGATATGATCTCCATGTATAATACATAAGGGGGATATGATCTCCATGTATAATACATAAGGGGGGATATGATCTCCATGTATAATACATAAGGGGGATATGATCTCCATGTATAATATAATACATAAGGGGGATATGATCTCCATGTATATAATACATAAGGGGGGATATGATCTCCATGTATAATACATAAGGGGGATATGATCTCCATGTATAATACATAAGGGGGGGGGGGATATGATCTCCATGTATAATACATAAGGGGGATATGATCTCCATGTATAATACATAAGGGGGGATATGATCTCCATGTATAATACATAAGGGGGGGATATGATCTCCATGTATAATACATAAGGGGGGATATGATCTCCATGTATAAATACATAAGGGGGGATATGATCTCCATGTATAAATACATAAAGGGGGGATATGATCTCCATGTATAATACATAAGGGGGGATATGATCTCCATGTATAATACATAAGGGGGGGATATGATCTCCATGTATAATACATAAGGGGGGATATGATCTCCATGTATAATACATAAGGGGGGATATGATCTCCATGTATAATACATAAGGGGGGATATGATCTCCATGTATAATACATAAGGGGGGATATGATCTCCATGTATAATACATAAGGGGGGATATATGATCTCCATGTATAATACATAAGGGGGGGATATGATCTCCATGTATAATACATAAGGGGGGGGGATATGATCTCCATGTATAATACATAAGGGTGGGGGATAATGGGGGGGATATGATCTCCATGTATAATACATAAGGGGGGATATGATCTCTATGTATAATACATAAGGGGGGATATGATCTCCATGTATAATACATAAGGGGGGATATGATCACCATGTATAATACATAAGGGGGGGATATGATCACCATGTATAATACATAAGGGGGGATATGATCTCCATGTATAATACATAAGGGGGGGATATGATCTCCATGTATAATACATAGGGGGGGATATGATCTCCATGTATAATACATAAGGGGTATATGATAAGGGGGGATATGATCGCCATGTATAATACATAAGGGGGGATATGATCTCCATGTATAATACATTATAAGGGGGATATGATCTCCATGTATAATACATAGGGGGGATATGATCTCCATGTATAATACATAAGGGGGATATGATCTCCATGTATAATACATAAGGGGGGGGATATGATCTCCATGTATAATACATAAGGGGGGATATGATCTCCATGTATAATACATAAGGGGGGATATGATCTCCATGTATAATACATAAGGGGGGATATGATCACCATGTATAATACATAAGGGGGGGATATGATCACCATGTATTAATACATAAGGGGGATATGATCTCCATGTGTATAATACATAAGGGGGGGGATATGATCTCCATGTATAATACATAAGGGGGATATGATCTCCATGTATAATACATAAGGGGGATATGATCTCCATGTATAATACATAAGGGGGATATGATCTCCATGTATAATACATAAGGGGATATGATCTCCATGTATAATATATAAGGGGGATATGATCTCCATTAGAGATGAGCGAATCGAACATGGCGAAGTGGAATTCGTTTCGAAGATCAGGAAAAATTTGATTTGTGCCGAATCCGAAAATTTGCAAACTTCGGATGCGCGAATTGAATTTTCCAAAAAATGGCGGCGACATGTGTGGCGACGGAGCGGGGATCTCGGGAAGGCGCGCAGACAAGCCGCGCTGACCCATAATGCATTAATTCATGACATGTAATCGCATTAGCCAATCAGCAGCCAGCCAGCCAGCACTGTTGTAATGGTGGAGCTATAAATCGCGACCATCTTAGAATTCTCCATTAGCCTCCAGTCATTCAAGAGAGACAGACCTCTGTGTATTAGGGACAGAGTTAGGGCCACAGAGACTTTAGGGCCACAGAATCGTTACTTAGGGACACAGAATATCGTTACTCAAGGACACAGAATTGTTACTCAGGGAGACACAGAATTGTTACTCAGGGACACAGAATTGTTACTCAGGGACAGACACAGAATTGTTACTCAGGGACACAGAATTGTTACTCAGGGACACAGAATTGTTACTGAGGGACACAGAATCGTTACTCAGGGACACAGAATTGTTACTCAGGGACACAGAATTGTTACTCAGGATAGACACAGAATTGTTACTCAGGGACACAGAATTGTTACTCAGGGACACAGAATGTTACTCAGGGACCACAGAATGTTACTCAGGACACACAGAATTGTTACTCAGGGGGACACAGAATTGTTACACAGGGACACAGAATTGTTACTGAGGACACAGAATCGTTACTCAGGGACACAGAATTGTTTACTCAGGGACACAGAATTGTTACTCAGGGACACAGAATTGTTACTCAGGGACAGACACAGAATTGTTACTCAGGGACACAGAATTGTTACTGAGGAGGACACAGAATTGTTACACAGGGAACAGTTACTGAGGGACACAGAATTGTTACTCAGGGACACAGAATTGTTACTCAGGGACACAGAATTGTTACTCATGGACAGACACAGAATTGTTACTCAGGGACACAGAATTGTTACTCAGGGACACAGAATGTTACTCAGGGACACAGAATTGTTACTCAGAGGGACACAGAATTGTTACTCAGAGGGACACAGAATTTGTTACTCAGGGACACAGAATTGTTACTCAGGGACACAGAATTGTTACTCAGGGACACAGAATTGTTACTCAGGACAGACACAGAATTGTTACTGTTACAGGGACACAGAATTGTTACTCAGGGACACAGAATGTTACTCAGGGGACACAGAATTGTTACTCAGGGACACAGAATTGTTACTCAGGGACACAGAATTGTTACTCAGGGACACAGAATTGTTACTCAGGGACACAGAATTGTTACTCAGGGACACAGAATTGTTACTCATTGGAGAGGACACAGAATTGTTACTCAGGGACACAGAATCGTTACTCAGGGACACAGAATCGTTACTCAGAGGGACACAGAATCGTTTACTCAGGGACACAGAATTGTTACTCAGGGACACAGAATTGTTACTCAGGGACACAGAATCGTTACTCAGGGACACAGAATTCGTTACTCAGGGACACAGAATTGTTACTGAGGGACACAGAATTGTTACTCAGGGACACAGAATTGTTACTCAGGGACACAGAATTGTTACTCAGAGGGACACAGAATTGTTACACAGGGACACAGAAATGTTACTCAGGGACACAGAAATTGTTACTCAGGACACAGAATTGTTACTCAGGGACACAGAATTGTTACTCAGGGACACAGAAGTTACTCAGGGACACAGAATTGTTACTCAGGGACACAGAATTGTTACTCTTGGGACACAGAATTGTTACTCAGGGACACAGAATCGTTACTCAGGGACACAGAATTGTTACTCAGGGACACAGAATCGTTACTCAGGGACACAGAATCGTTGAATTAAAAGAGTATGTCAGACAACACGCAGAGGAGTGGCAGAGGAGGCAATGTTTCAGGAGCGAGCAGACGTGGCAGCAGAGGAAGGGGTCGAGGCAGCACTAGTCGCAGCCAGAGGCCAGTGCTCCGGTGTCATCCAGCGGTCGTGTCTCCACCGACAACCCTGCCCGTCATCGATTGGTTGGCTCGGTCGTCTTCCTCTTCCCAGGTCACCTCTGACACCTACAGCCAACGGTCGGTGGGTACGTCAGACACAACCGTTAGTTGGCATGGCCCGGGAGCAAGCCCACTGAAATCACGTGTCCTCTACCTGCCCCTGTCCTTTGGTGTTCCCTCACCAAGCGAAAGTATCGCATGCTGTGGGCTCAGCCCCACTGTACAGTGAGGAAGAGCTAACAGAGGGCGGTCAGGAACGGGGGGAGACATCCGCCTCTTCAGCAGCCAGGCGAAGAAGTACTGGCGAGGAGAGTGGCTCGGTAGCCGGTCTAGAGACAGGTCTGTCTCCTGACCCACACGCAGCCGAGGGGGCTAGTAGTGAGGCGGAGACCCTAATTGATGATGATGAGGCTGATCGCACTTGGCAGCCTCGTCGTCATCAGGCTATTGCTTCCGCATCATCAGGAGAAGAGGGTGCCAGCTTGGCAGCGAGCAAAACAGTCGGTGGGTTGCCCAGGAGGCAGCAGGGTCGCAGCAGTGTCAGTGGAGGCAAACGGCCACGGAGTAGAGCACCAGCTCCACTGCAGCCTACCACCACGGCCAGTAGTGGTGCCGTGTGCACGGAGGAAGTAGCAGTCAGCCAGTGAGGAGTAGCGGGGGCAAAGTTTCCTACTCGGCGGTGTGGCAATTTTTCGTCAAGCCGCCCGAGGAAGTAAACGTAGCCGTATGTCGACTATGTGGCCAGAAAGTCAAGCGTGGCCAGGGGGCCCATGTTGGGACTACAGCGTTGCGTCAGCATATGCAGCGTCGCCATTTCGGTGGCCTGGGAAAACCGTGATAAAGATACGGCGGTTCTGCCTGCCCCAGCCCCCGCTCCATCACCCGCTCCGTTACTTGCTCCGTCACCCGACGTCAATCGCCCTCTATCAGCCAGTCAAGGCTCCAACACCTCTGCTGAGGGGAGTTGTCGCTCGTTGGCATCTTCCGCTCGTTCAGATGCTCCTTCTCCTGCTACTCCTCTTCACGGATTTCCGTCAGCAGTCTTTCTTGGAATCCGTTTCCAAGAGACAACAGTTTGCGAGCACGCACCCGACGGTGCAGAAGCTGAACGTCCTCCTGTCCAAGTTGCTGGTGCTGCAGTCCCTCCCTTTCCAAGTGGTGGACTCAGCACCTTTCCGAGAAATGATGGCTTGTGCCGAGCCGCGGTGGAGAGTGCCAAGCCGGCATTTTCTTCGCCAAAAAGGCAGTGCCAGCCCTGCATTCACATGTAGAAGAGATGGTGGGCCAGTCTTTGAGCATGTCGGTCTCTGCCAAAGTGCACGGCAGCGCCGACGTGTGGAGCTGTAACTACGGTCAGGGACAGTACATGTCATTTACGGCCCACTGGGTGAACGTGGTGCCGGCACAGCCGCACCAGCAACTTGGACAGGTCACGCCGCTTTTGCCTCCACGTTTGCACGTCCTTGGTCCAGCAAAGATGTCCGCCTCTACCACCTCTTCTTCCGCCGTGTCCTCAGCCGCCACCCCCGTGCCAAGTCCCATTACCCGACCGGCATATCACATGTGCAGGGCGCAACGGTGTCACGCTGTGCTGCACCTGGTATGCCTTGGCGAACGTAGTCACACAGGGGAGGAACTTCTGAGTGTAATGAACAGAGAAATCGACAGATGGCTGTCTCCGCGCAAACTGAAAATCGGAACCATGTTGACCGACAACGGAAAGAACATGGTGTCTGCTCTGCGTCAAGGAAGGTTGTGCCATGCGCCATGCATGGCTCACGTGTTCAATCTGGTTGTCAAGCGGTTCCTAAAATCCACCATCCCACTGCAAGACATCCTTAAAATGTCACGTAAACTTTGCATGCATTTCAGCCATTCCTACACCGCAAAGCACACCCTCCTTGAGCTGCAGCGGCAGAACGGAATTCCACAGCATCGCCTGATCTGCGACGTTGCAACAAGGTGGAATTCAACCCTACATATGTTAGACCGCCTTTACGAACAGCGAAAGGCCATCACCGATTTCCTGATGTTACAAGCGGATAAAGGTACTCCCCTGTGTAACTTAGATGTCAGCCATTGGCAGCTCATGCGTGACACCTGCCGCTTGCTCAGAGCCCTTTGAGGAGGCCACGCTATTCGTGAGTCGGCAGGACTATGGGATGAACGACGTCATTCCTCTGTTGCACGTCCTGGAACAAATGCTGTTAACAATGGCTGGTCAGGGTGCGGTAGACGTGGCGCACAGATCTCAACGCCACATGACCCCTGTGGGGGCAGGACAGGAAGAAGAGGAGGAGGTAGAGGAGGACATTGGTGCTCAGGAATTATTGAGTGAAATGGGTGGTTTTTCCACTCAGCGGACAGGAGTGGAGGAGCAGGAGCATCTGGTAGAGGAGGAGGAGGGAGACAGAGGACCCAGACGCACCGTGGCAGTATGCTGTGGAGATGGAGGCAGGGAGTCCCTCGCATTCCTTGGCACAAATGGCCCATAGCATGCTCGGTTGCTTGCGTAGCGACAGCCGAATAATAACCATCAGACAGAGGGATGACTTTTGGCTGTCCACCTTGTTGGACCCTCGCTACCGTTCAAAAATGGTGGCCTTTTTTCACACCTGCTGAGAGGGAGGCCAAAATAACGTACTATAAAAACCACCTATGTAGTCAGTTGGTCTCTGCCTTTCTGCGCCAACGTCCATCCTCAGACACTGTGGGCCCTGTGCGCTCGCGTTCCGCTGCCATGGCAGCAGGGGAGGGGTGGGTGGTAGGAGCAGTGGCAGCTCCACCAGCAGCGGCTGCCTCAGTCTGCAGTCGATGATGAGTAGCTTTCTTCACCAGCGCAGTGAGGAAACTACTACTAACCAGCCGCAGCAGCAGCAGCAGCATCAGGTGGACCTGGAGCAGGACCTCAAACAACAGGCTTGGGCCTACTTGGACAGCACCCTGCCAACCGAGGTAGACAATCCCCTTGACTACTGGGCAACGAAACTTGACCTTTGGCCCCAACTAGCTGAATTTGCCCTTGAAAGGCTGTCATGCCCGGCCAGTAGCGTGGCATCGGAGCCGTGTTTAGTGCGGCAGGAGGTATTGTAACTCCGCGGAGGACACGACTGTCCACCCAAAGTGTGGAGAGACTCACGTTTGTGAAAATGAATCAGGCGTGGATTAGTCTGGATTTCAAACCACCAGTTCCTGACACAACTGACTAAATCCGCCATGAATCATGCCCCAAACATGTTATTATTTTTAACATAGGCCTCTGTATGGCCTTCAATTTAAGCTGCTTACGCTTCGCCACTCTGCCATGGGCCCCTGTACCGCCTCCTCTTGCTGCTGCCAGGTCCAGAGTGTGTCATGGGTCCCTGTACGGCCTCCCATTGCTGCTGTCTCCATCGCCACACTCTGCCATGTGCCACTTTCAGGTCCTCCTCACACTGCTGGTGGGTTCCATTTTGTCATAGGGTGCTGGCAGATTACGGGCCTCCCATTGCTGCTGCCAGGCCCGTAATCTGCCATGGGCCCCCGTACCGACTCCTCATGCTGCTGCCAGGCCCGTAATCTGTCATGGGCCCCTGTACGGCCTCCCATTGCGCCTCCTCACTGCTGCATGTGCCAGGTCCAGAGTGTGTCATGGGTCCCTGTGCTGGCAGATTACGGCCTCCCATTGCTGCTGCCAGGCCCGTAATCTGCC